AGGGAAAGATGGTGGATTTGTTTTGTGCTTCTTTTTTTATATAGTCAGTTGTTTTTTTTATTAAAAAATATGGAGCGATGTGACAGGAGGAAATAGACTAGTTTGGTTAGGCGATTGAGGTGAAGGTGGAGGATGGCTAAGGCTTTTTTGTGTTGGTGGTAGCATGTTTGTGTAGAGGGAATAGATCTAGGGTTTTTTTATGGCTCCCCCTTTATTGTGTGAACATGAGCACCTATTTATAGGTGAAATTTTTTTCTTTCTTTCCCAATTGCTTGGTCCAATATTTGTGTTTTGATTTTTTTTGAAATGGAGCAATATTAACATTGACTTAATAAGAAAAATCAATGATTTTAAAAATAATACATTAAAAGCCCAACGTATTAAAAAAACATTTGAAATTTGAATCCTTTTAGGGCAATGCAGAAAATGTTGAAAATGATGCAAATATATCAAGAACATCCTTTTTGGGGTTTTATTGTTTTTTGCTATGTTTTTTTCAAAAATACTCCAAAAATGGGTAGCAACAATTCTCTCAAAGAAATTCAAGTTCATTAAGGAAGCAAGGGATCAAAATCCTTTCCCTCGTTCAAATTAAATCATGCAAGGGATCAAAATCATTTCCTTTATCAAATAAAATCAAGTTAAGATCTCACATGGTTAAAGCTTTGAGACTCATGTTAATACTATTTATCTTCATTAATTCAAGCCAAATTTAAAATCTCACACTGTTAAAGCTTGCTTGTTTGAATACTTTTTATCTTTGTTAAATATAATCAAATTAAGATCTCAAATGGTTAAATATTTCAAGCTTATATGGATATTCTTCATCTTTATCAAATAAAATTAAGTTAACATCTCATATGGTTAAAGCTGTTAGGCTTGTGTGAATACTCTTCATCTTTATTAAATAAAATCAAGTTAAAATAACATACGATTAAAGGTTTCAGGCTCATATAAATATCTTTCCATCTAAGTAAGATTCAAATATGACTATTAATCATTGGATCCATGCACGTGAAGAGCATCTCAATAGAGTTTTCACCTTTTACTTATAATCAAATTCAGTATTATACTTGTTTCATCATTAATTCTATGTATTTTTAAAACATAGAATTTTATTTGTACATAACTTTTTAAAATACCGTTGAGTTTTATATGATTGTTTCCACTTACTATGTTTATTTGTTATACATGTTTTGCAGGAAAGAGCCTGAACTAGTCCAGGAAATTATTGATTACATTATGAAGGAGCTAAAACCTTTATCCTCAAGCAATTTTGGTAACTTGGTTGAAATAGGTTCATGTAATAGAAAGGTTGATGATAGTGAATATTTCATGTAACCAATTGGTTGGTTACACGTAGCACTAAATTTATTCACTTTAAACATATTTATCATTAATAAAAGGCTTTATTTATCTTTAATATTCAACTTTATTTGATTAACGAATATAATGTTTGATTAGTGAATCTAGAGTAAAAATACAAGCTTATTGAACAAAAAAGTTTTGTATAAAAAATTATAAAGTTATTACTTTTATGAGATTGCTATTACATCAAAACGTTATTCCTAAATATTCTTGGTCAATGTTCTATTAAGATTGGATATTAATTAGAATTGTTGATACTAGTGCATATTATGTTCTTTTATTTTTATGAAATGAAGCAGTTGCTTTGATAAACTAAGGTACGAGGGATACTTTGAACTAATATGCAAGTGCTTGTTAGATAACATATATATTGAATTGACTCTCATAGAATTCTATATGGAGAAATCACTTATTTTTATGAAAAGGCTTATATGAAATTTGTGTAAGTGATAACTAGACTTAAGATTATTAAGTTATCTTTTATGAAGAGTGTTATGATTTAATTAACCATACATTATTATAATCAAGGGTAAAAAATAGGTAGATATTATGTATAACATAAACCATATGAAAGTATTTAAATAATTAAGAAAGGATAAATCACCTTGAGTGAATTAGAAAAAATGTTATATCTATTATGAAATAGTATTGATTGTGAAATCTTTGACTAGGATCGAATGAGATTTGAAAAGAGTTTCAAATCTTATTTAAAAAATCAATAACTATAGCATTAAGAACTAAAATAATTTAACAAAGCATACATACTTCATGATATAATATCTAAATTGAAATATTATTAATGAATAAATAAAAATAACACCGAGAAACTGATCACTAAAAGGTTAAATTAAACAACTTATGACTTTTTTAATACTTGGAGGATCATGATAAGTTGTTAGACATTATACTTGATCTTCAAATATAAATCAATCAATTGTTAAATTGGTGATAAATTAAATTGTTTAATTTATTTAATTCTATTTTATTTAGTATTATGATTTATATTTGGACCAACTTATTAGAGAACCTAACAGGTCAATCACATAAAAGTCATTGGTCAAAAATTAAAATGAGATAATTAATCAAATATAAATTGATTTGAAATAAGTTTTAGAAATTAAGAACTAGAATGTAATTAATACAGTGGATTACACTTCTATAACTAAAAACAATTAAGTAGAAAATTGATTTAATAAATTTATAAAATCATCTTAAAATAATATATATGATATTGTTTAATGGGTAAATTGATATTTTTTTTTTCATTTATATGGTTTTTAGGTTTTCCTATAAATAGAATATTATAACTTAAACACAAAAGAATATATCTAGCACTCTATGGTATGACAATCCCTCTCTTTTAAAAGGGTTTAGAAGATTTCTTACTGGTAATTCGTGTGGATTACTCTTAGAGGTTGAACACTTGGATGGTTTATGGTTTGAGATAACCTATCTTTAAAGTAATTATTCAAAGTAAAAATAAATATTTAATCTTTAATTAATATATATAAACCTTAAAAAACTATAGACTTGTCTAATATGAACCCTAAAACTCCTAAAAATTTTAAATTTAACATTTTCATTGCGATTGCACGTTCTAGGGATACCAAGTATGGAGTCGTTACCATGCATTGGATCACCAGGTGTATGTACGATAGGAATTTAGGGTATGGGTGGTATAGGTAAGTCAACACACATTGAAGCTTTATTTAACTAAATCTCTTCTAGATTTATACGTGAATGTTTTCTTCGAAATGTTAGAGAAAAATTAGAAAAGCATAGAGTAGTTTCTTTACGAGATGGAATATTCATTTCTCAAGTATTAATGAAAAATTATTTTAGCAGAGGCACTTTCATCTTATCCCATCGTATTAAGGAAATGCTTCTGAAGATGGATCCTCGTTGAAGAGAAGTTATGCATCCTAAATTGGAGTTTTGTTATCAATATTTTCGTGTGTATTTAAGTAGACCATAAAATCAATAAAAGATGTACTTCCTGTTGTTACTCATTTTTTACCTAAAAAAATCATGAAAAAAATATAAAAAGAAAATACAAAAATATAGAAGAATACAAATGAAGAAAGCCCGAAAGATTGCCCCTTGTTAGTGGTAAAGGACTAAAATGACAAAAGAAAAAGTTGGTGACCCAATTTTGATTGATAGAAGACCCATTCAGTGAAAATGTTGTTTTTTAGTGTAAAGAAATATAAATTTAGGATGAGTAAGGACTCAATGAGAATTTTGAAAAGTTTAATCAATTTTATTGAGGACTTGATTGCAAGGAAAATTAGTTTTTTGAAGTTAATTCAGGTGTTAATTTGAAGAAATTTAAGCCTAGGGACTAAAATTGGACTTTGAAAAGTTTAATTGGTTAAATTAGGAGCTTAGTTGTGAAAAAAATAAAATTTAATAACTAATTAGGGGTTTGATTGAAAAAATTAAAAATCAATGACCAAATCATAAAAGGCGCGAGACTTCAAGAGTTAAAATTGATCAAATCAAAGGCCAAATTATAGAAAGTTAAAAGTTTGATGGTCAATTAAAGGTCCAAATGCACAAATCTAAAAATGGACTAAGATGAAAATGGCATTAAATTTTAAGGTTGATAATTGAGTTTGATAGGGATAAATTGCATTACATTAAGAGTTGATAAGACTATTACAAGTGTAATTAAAAGCAATTAGAAAAAAAGGACTAAAATAAAATATGTTAGATCTCAAATTAAAAACCTAACTTCTAGGGATTCAATCTAGATGACGCATCTTTCACCTACTATTCATCTCCTTCCTTAGCAGTTTTAGATGATTGATTTGGCACCTTTCAAAAGCTTGTTTTGGAGTTCTAGCTTCCAAATGACACGAGGTTTTTTGCAAATGAAAAAAGAACATCCCCTTTATAACTATATTTACATGAAATTGGACGTGTACATCTTAATTCTTCTATAGAAGTCTCTTACACCTTATCCCTAATCAACCATCACTAAAGTTTTAGATTTTGAGCTAATCAAGTTGACATATTTGAATAAATGAATATAAAACTACAGACCTTCAAATTAAGCAAGATTTGATCAAAACAAAAGGTATACACCTTCACTACTAAATTTATATAGTTTCTCAAATTAAGCAAGATTTGATCGAAACAAAAGGTATACACCTCCACTACTAACTTTATATAGTTTCTAATGATGTTTACATTGGAGCTGCTCTAGTAAAGCCTCAAAAGTGGTCAACCATGTTAACCCAGACTATGATACCCATTTTTCAAAAGCCATTAATTTTTTTGTGTGCTTACACTTAAAGCTTGTCAAATGGTTCTTATTAAAGGCTTTAAATCTCTATCTCAAAATCAAAATACTAGAAAGAGCTCTTTGCCCTCCAAGTCTAGAAAAACCATCAAGTATCCCTAAATAAAAACCACTATTGCTAAATCAACCAAATACAAAAGCTTCTTGTTGTTAGCTTTTCTCTAGAACTCTTTTATTTTGATTAAAGGGCTGAGCTTTGATCAATTTTGAGGGAATCCACTAAAAAACCTAGAAAAAAAACCCTAGAAATGCCTCTAGAAATAAAAAAAAAAAAAGAGAAAATAGAGAGAAATAACATGAGTAAATATCCTTTGGAAAGACCTTATTGTGAAGGTTTAAGAACCTAAAATATAAGGTCAAGCAAACATTGAAAAAAATAAAAAGTGAAAGGGAAAGAAATAAGGAAAAGATAATGGAAGTAGCAACCTACATAAATAAATAAAAAAGACAAGAAAATAAAGAGAAATAACATGAGTAAATATCTTTTGGAAAGACCTTACTTGGAAGGTTTAAGAGCCTAAACTATAAGGTCAAGCAAACTTTGGAAAGAATAGTAAGTGAAAGGGAAAGAAGAAGGAAAAGATAAGGGAAGTAACAGCCTATAATCAGCAAGTTTGGAGATGGTATAACCATGTGAAAACTCAAAGGTGGAGTCCATATGGCCTACTTATTCATGATTTTTCAATGTTAGAATCTTTTTAGCATTATTTTGCGTTTTAGCATTTATATGGATTGATGAATGAAAATGTTGTTTTCTTTATTTAATGTTGCTTTGAGTTAGTTATTAATGTTTTCTAGATGTTTAAAATGGTGTTTGAATGTTGTTCTTGCTGAAATGAGATGTTTTTTTATTTAATTTGTTAAATATGACATTGGGTATTTTATGCTTATTTCTAGGTTGTTAGTTCATGTCTTGGGTTCCTAGACTTGGTTTTTGCCCTAAAGAGTTAGTTTTGAATTAAAGTTTGATGTTGTGTTAGCTATCAATTGGACTTAAGCTTTGGAAGTTGAAATCTTAAGCATGTTTTAATGATTTGATGTTATTTGTAGTTGTTTTTAATTCAAACATGTTTGTTATTAATAATGTAGTTTATGTGTGTCGCTACACGACGTCGGGCGACGGCTCCACTTCTCTTTTTGTTTGTTTTTTTTAAAACAAAGGGAATTTAATTTTTTATTTGATTGGGGGGAAATAAAGATTTTATTTGGAGTCGCCATCTAGTAATTTGAGGGAGCTAGAAATCCAAAATTAGACACTGGTCCCAGAGATTCGGATACTGGGTTAGTTATGATTAAGGGAAGGTAGACACCACCCTTAAAACATCCTTTCAGAGAAAGGTTACCTTTACTTGTGTGTTTTTCTTATTTTTGATTCAAATGCTATTATATTTTGAACTTATTTGTAAATTTTTAACATGATTAACGTCGGTCCCTAAAAATAGGAGACGCGTTAAAAATGACATCAGTCCCTAAAATTAGGAGACTTTGTCTAAAATGTCGACGCTTATCCCTAAAAAGGAGAGTTACGTCTAATTTACCAAAATAAATAATAATGGACATAATCCATATTTGGTATTTAATTTGTTTTTTTGACATCGGTCCTTTTCTGTAAATAAAAGAGACGTGTCGACAAATAATATTTACTTTATAAAATAAAAATTATTTTGATATCATTCACAAATAGATATATCAATTCTTGAAAATTGGGCTTTTGACCCATAAACAGTGATATGATAAAAATGGGTGTAGAACCCGCGT